AAGATCATGGCTGTGCTAGGGCTGAGCTTCTGCAGAACAAATACTATCCTCCTCTCTGAACAGCCATCCTCAGACGCTAAATGGCGGGGGGAGGGGTGGGGGGGTGACCTGAGGACAAGGGAAGGGAATTGATGAACTTCTGTCTTGTCGGTTGGTCAGATTCTTCCAGCAAATTCCAGTGAAAGGGCTCCTGTCACAAGGGGACCATTAAATAAAGGACTGTTTGTGCTCAGGGGGGCACTTTCCTCCCACATGTGTTCAAGGACTGCCTTCAAAATGACATCAACGACAAAATCCCCACCCAACCAGTGATCCTGGATTACCTCAGTTCCTAATCCTTCCAGGTCTTTCTAGCTTGAAAAGCAAAGCTTCATCTTTGGATTGTGAGGCAAGGGTCTGAGGCCAGACTCATCCTCCCAACGTCCTTCCTTCTACCCCATCTCCCTTGGGGGGCGGGATGAGACCTATCTTGAGACATAGTTTTAAACCAACCGCCCTGCTCTCTGCCCAGCCTCCCACTTCTAAGCCATGATTTTAAGCTATGTTTAAAGTGGACCACATAGGGACAATTAAAGCAGAAAATCCCTAGGCCTGAGGGGCCCAGAGGATGAGAAAGACCTTAAGGAGAACTGAGAGAGCCAGAGGTGCAAAGAGATCTTCCCTGGTGGCTCCCGGTGAAGAATCTGCCTGCAACGCAGGAGACATGGGTTTGACCCCTGGGTGGGGAAGATCCTCTGGAGAAAGAAATGGCAACCCATTCCAGTATTCTTGCCTGAGAAATCCCACAGACAGAGGAGTCTGGAGGACTACAGTCCATGGGGTTGCAAAAGAGTTCCAGCGGCAGCGGCAAAGGTCCAGAGAAGGGGGAGGTTCTGAGCCAGGTGTGGGGAGGGGAGAGGGAGGAGAAGGGAGAGGCGTGGGGGGCATTGAGGACATCTCAAGGGGGAGGTTGGCTCACTGAGCCTCCTGGCGGCAAGTCCAGACTGCCTCCCTCCAGGCCACCTGCCAGTATCCTGAGACCCAGTGAGCCAGCCGAGAATCAGGAACCACACCTTGTGCCACCTTGTGCATGCCTACTAAGTCACTTCAGTCGTGTCCGATTCTTTGCAATCCCAAGGCTGCAACCCACCAGGCTCCTCTGTCCATGGGATTCTCCAGGCAAGAATACTGGAGTGGGTTGCCATGCCCTCCTCCAGGGGATCTTCCCGACCCAGAGATTGAAGCCATGTCTCTTCTGTCTCCTGCATTGGCAGGCAGGTTCTTTACCACTAGCGCCACCTGGGAAGCCTGCTGCCTGCAAAGAAGCTTTCCATCACATCGGGGTATAGGTGAGGAAACTGGGGCCCTCCCCAGGGTGCAGAAGTCCAGGTTTAAGGCCACCAGCATGTGAGTAAGGACACTGCCAGATCCCCAATCAAGGACAAGGGCAGATTCCCCGTGACACTGTGCCCAGGGCCTTTCTGGTTAACATTTTCACCACTGTGGGCGACAGAGGTTGCTCCACTTTGGTTTGGGCCCCTTTCTCCTTTGGAGCTTGCATTACCCCACCTGGGGCCCTGATCCTCCCCCAGTTAAAGCACACAGCGAGAAGTGTCAGCTCTGTGGTAGGACAGGTGGCCTCAAGGCCATCCAGCCAGCAGCACCATTCAACACAGGCAGCCTCCCGTAGCTCCAGCTGACTTGGCCCAGGGATGATGCAGAGAAAACCTTCCTACCACCTTTCAATTTCTTCTCTTTGAGCTCACAGTTCCTTTAGTCTGGTCCCTTCTAGAAGAATGAGTTTTTCTAACTGGTGTCCTCTCCTTCCACCTTCAAGTTAAAAGGTGAGCCGTTAGCTTTGGACTCGTAAGTCTCTGGAAGGTGACGATCAGTATTGGTCTGTTTTTGCTCCTGAAAGCTCTATGCATTTCTCTTTTAATTAAAGTACAGTTGATATACAAAATTATGTAAGTTACAGGTGTACAATATAGTGATTCACAGTTTTTAAAGGTTGTACTCCATTTATAATTATAAAATATTGGCCATATTCCTCACGTTGTACAATATGTGTTAGTCGCTCAGTCATGTCCGACTCTTTGTGGCCCCGTGGACTGTAGGCCACTAGGCTCCTCTGTCCATGGAATTCTCCGGGCAAGAACACTGGAGTGGGTTGTCTCTCTAGTTGTGGTGAGAGTTTCTCAATGTGGTGGCTTCTCTTGTTGCCGAACACAGGCTCAGTCGTTGTGTGCACAGGCTACAACCATGCATATAAGTCTTCCTGGAGCATGGATTGAATCCATGTCCCCAGCACTGGCAGGCAGTTTCTTTTTTTATAGTTTGGAAGATAATTGGTTTACAATATTGTGTGGGTTTCTGCCATACAGCAACAGGAATCAGTCATAATTATACATATATATCCCCTCCCCTTTGAGTCTCCCTCACCCCTCCTATCCCACCCCTCTAGGTCATCACAGTGCCAGACTGGGCTCCCTGTGTTATATAGCACCTTCCCACTAAGCAGGTAGATTCTTAACCACTGGACCACCAGGGAAGCCCTGCAAATATTTTTTGCATGCCTGCCATTGTGCATGGCTTGCTGTCATCCTTGACTTGTTTTAGACTTAACTTTGCAGTCCTGTGAAGCTTCACCATATTTCCAGTTGTGTATGACTTGTTCGGGGGCACAGAGCAACTTGAGTTAGAGTTGGAACCCTAGTCAGAAGATTCATGTACATCTTGGCTCTGTGTCCTGAAACCTTTCTTTTTCATCACTGTCTTGCTTTTCTTTTCTTCTCTTTTTCTTTCATAGGCTGGATTCAGCACCTTGGAGACAGACTTAGGACCTAACCATCTGTGGACCACCTGTGTGTGCCCTACAGCCAAAGACCACCAAGAACAAAGTTGGATTTTCTGATCTGTTGCAGGGAGGGAGGCTGTGTACATGCACAGATAAGGAGTCACAGGGCCTCTCAGCACAAGGGACTTAGAATAGAACATGAACTTGTGTTAAGTGGTGTGTGGGAAGTTTCAAGGAAGCAGGGGTTTGCTCTGGATTGAATGGTGTCAGGAAGCAGGATTCTACCATCAGGAACTTCTGTTTTTATATAGAAGGTGAGATGAAGGCATCAGGGCTAAAGCCGTGGTTGTGAAGAGACAGCTGTCACTTGGGTTAGTTGAGTGATTTCTGTGGTGTGGGCAGAGGCTTAGTTTGTGTCTGTGCTCAGACATGACTACAGAATGGTCTTGTTTTGTCAGGCTTGTCTGAAGTTGGTGATGGGTGAGACTAACTCTGTTTGAGAGGAGAATGTGGCACCTATCTCTGAGTGCCTGGCTGGTGGGAGCTTGATGCTAGGGACTACTTTTGTCTTTGTCATTACAAAGGCAAAGCTTTGATCCTCCAGTTCCAGTCTTCTTTATATCCTAGTCTTGTATCTTCATGATGGGATAAGGATCCTCACATTTGAAGAGGAGGAGGAGGGATGGATGAAAATGAGGAGGGGGATTTGCTTACGGTGGGGGTGGGGTAAAATAGTGTCTTAGCTTAGAGGATTCATATCTCTGTAACCTAAATGGATCCAGGATTCCATTCCTCTGCCTGAATAGAATGATATTCCAAGGCGTGTTAAGCAGACAGGGGAAGGAATTAGGATAACCTTTGTATGTAGATGCCTTGTGAATTATGGGAGGAAGTTCCAGGTCGAGGGATGGGGCAGGCATAAGAAGTGGCCATTCTTATTACAGACAACCCTCACTTAGAAAGGTAATCCACTCTCTTCAGAAACACAGGGTGATTGTACATCCCAGTTTTCTGGTATATCCTCGATTTAAGTAATATAACTATTTGATACCCTACATATAGTTTGGCTACATATTATATTGTTCTATATAATTTATTTTAGAAGTGCAAGAGATTAACTGAGGGAAACACCTGTAAGAGCAAGCGTTCAAGGGAGCAGCAGCCAGCGGGAGAGGCCTCTTCAATACAGGTCTGACCCTGTGTGAAGAGCAGCGGGGGGAGAAACAGACTGGGTAGGAAGATACCCCAGACTGCAGCACACTTCTGGGGCAGTCGGGGCCAGGCCTTTCAGGAGTTCCCAGGCTAAATTTTCCACTTAGCGGGGTCAGCTCTCTGGAGGGAATGGTTCTGTACTCAGTCACTGCCCAGAGGCAGCCAGGGAAAGACTGGCCCCTGCCCCTCCCCAGACAGCCCAGGCTGTCAGCCAGCTCCTGGTCTTGGCAGCAGGTTCTCTTAGAGCCATCTGAACTGCACCCTCCACAGCCATCGCGTCTTCGGTCAGCAATACCTTTCTTTCTTTCTCTTTAATCTTTTTGAGTCACTGAAGCAGATAAGTCCTCCCAGAAGCAAAGGCCAAGACAGGATTAGACCTGCAAGAGATTTGTTAAAGAATGCCTTTGAAGTATAAAAGGGGGAAGAGAGGAGAGGGGGGAAAAACCCTATACAAATGTGACTTACACTGTGAATAAATGTGTTCCTATAAGTGCTTTGTTGTTTTAAGCCTCTGTTAAGACATACACCCTGAATTTGGGCTTGGGAACTATGGTTTCTAAGTCGTGTTAAATGATAACACTGTAATTTAGGAAGGGCAAACAAGGTGATAGGGGCTTCCATGGTGGCTGAGCAGCAAACAATCCGCCTGCAGTGCAAGAGTCGCAGGAGCCACAGGTTCCGTCCCTGGGTGGGGAAGATCCCCTGGAGGAGGGCATGGCAACCCACTCCAGTTTTCTTGCCTGAGAATCCCCAGGGACAGAGGAGGCTGGCGGGCTACAGTCCATGGGGTCACAGAGTCAGACACAGCTGAGCAACTTAGCATGCACGTCCTCAACAAGGTGATGGAGGTACAGGGGAAGTGGACCGTCCTCAAGTTCACCTACGTCTGTGCGGACCTGGACCACCAGCTGGACACGACCCAAAAGCGGCGGTAGGGCGACTGCGCAAGAAGCGGCACATGCTGCTAAAGCGCCTGCGCAAGACCTAGACTGAGGCTCCGCCCACAGAGGAGCCTGGGGTGGGGAAGACGAAGCGCCACAGGGTCGCCCTGCCCAAGATGGCGGGCAGCATGGTGGGGGTCTGCAACTGTCAAGACTTTCAGCCAGGTGTAAGTCGAGCCTGAGGTGATTGGCCACTACCTAGGTGAGTTCTCCATCACCTATATAAGCCCATGAAGCACGGCTGGTCCGGCATGGAGCCACCCACTCTTCCCGCTTTGACCCCCTCAAGTAGCTTGCTGGCCCCTAAAGGCACAGACTTGGCTTTAGAAAGAAAGACACTGGGATTTAAAGCATCAAATCAAGATCTGCCTCAGCTACTCTTTTTTTTTCACACGGCTCCCTTCTGTGAGGACTTCGCATGTGTCCTCGCCCTCGCTGCTTCTCCACTTCTCTAAAGGGTGGCTTTGCCTGGTAGGGGACATTGGGCTGTTAGAGCCAGTACCTGGGTTACTGGGGGAGTAGGCGGTCCTCTCGTCCCAGAAGGAGTTGAGAGAAGAAACAGGCGGTCAAGAAAGCAAAGTGAGGATTTAACTAAGCAACGGTACACTCTCAAAGGTGAGAAACTGCACCGACTTTCTTTGGCAAGCAGGATATGTGGGATGTACAAACGAAGGGGTGGAATATGCATTGGGGGGGGAGGGTTTTGGGGGGTCACGTACCCGGATTTTCATACTAGCTCCATCTTGCCAAGGGGAGGAGGGATTTTTGTCCTTATGTAGTCTTGATGGGAAGTGTTATGACCTCGGTGCGTGATAGGAACTTCTCATCTGCAAGGTTTTATTGTAATGACAGCTTAGTAAACAAAAGGTTACATTTGGACGGCAGAAATTCCTACCTTTTCCCACCTTTCTTTAGCTGTCTCCAGGACACTTATCACCCCAAAATGTGTGGTTTCGCATGAGTCTGAAGGGTCCTTCTTTGTCTGCCTAAGGACCCCCTTTGTTTACAAGATATATGACTTCCTGCTATTGGCCCGTGTGCCCCTTTTAGTTCACACTTGGCTATCTCCCTGCTCCAAAATTACTGCTTCAAGGAGTCTGGACACTTAAAATCTTCTAAAGGCGAAAATATCTATGGTCCATCCTCTCTCTCTCTCTCTTTTTTTTTTAAATTTTTATTTACTTATTGGCCACATTGGGTCTTCATTGCTTTGTGCAGACTTTCTCTAGTTGTAGTGAATGGAGGTTGAGACTGTAATGGCAGTGCTCCGGCTTCAGTAGTTGCAGCATAGTGTGCTGGGTAGTTACGTTGTGAGGCTGCGCCATGACAGGCAGCCTAGATTAGGAGTAGGCCTGGTTTTCCAGGGTAACATGATTATCATGCCACCTGGAGCCAGGCAATCAACATGTGCCTAGCAAGAAAAAGGGAACCTATCAGGGGAAAGCTGAAAAGCCCGCGAAGGTTTGGGCCAATAAGATTACTTTGCAAACATGTAACCAATCGGCTTAAGCCAGCTACCAACTGCTTATGCACACCTTATAAATTGGGTAACAGCTTGGGCTCAGGGGTCTCTGATCCCGTACCACTGCGTTGGACTCGCGGCAGGAGCCCTGACTCGAGTCAGCAATAAACTTCCCTTTTTTGCGAGTTGCATTGTCTTAGAAGCCTTCTCTCTTCCCGCTCAGGGATTCGGACATCGGGCATAACAACGTTGCATGGGCTTAGTTGTCCCAGGACATGTGGAATCTTCCCGGACCAGGGATCAAACCTTCATCCCTGCACTGGCAGGCCGATTCTTAACCACTAGACCACCAAGGAAGTTCTGGTCCATCTTCTGTAACTACTTTGAATTGAGCATGAGTGTTGTCCCTTCCTGTGGGTGGAGATCTCCTTCCTGTCTGTGAGAGACAGGGATCTCAGGGTTGTTTACAGTTTGGAGGTGGAGAGTGGGGAGTAGATCCAGTGGCTGGTGGTACCTCATCTTCAGGTGGGATGAATTAAAATCCCTGATGCATCATCATTTGAAGAGCTGGAATCCAAATTTAGGGTTTTTTCTGATGGGTATTGCGCTATCAATGAGTAGCTTCAACCTGGTTTAAGCTTTTCCTGGTGGAACTTGCTGATGAACTGGAGGAAACACTAGTTTCCCTGTTTGACTTCTGGCCTGGTTATTTGGTTTATATGTCTTAATCTGAAAGACAGTTTCCTATTACTACTGCACAGTTGTTTTCCCAACAATGCAAAACAGGAAAGCTACCCTTAGAGGATAAAACCAGCCCCATCCCTCTGTCTTTGAGCAGCCTCAGAAATGCCAGGTCCCTTGCCGAGAGAGTGAACACCTCAAGAACAGGATCCAGGCCTCGTGGCCTAGCTTCTGCCAGAGCAATTGGCATATGGGAGGAACTCAGTACTTACTAGTTGGCTGTTTGGAGAAATGGTTTGCACAAAGCTCTTTCTACTAACAAAGTGAGACTCTTTGGCTCATTCTCTTGCAAGCTACATGCCCTTGGCTAGTCACTTAACCTCCCTGGGCCTCAGTTTTTTTCATCTGAAGATTGCATTGATCTTTGAGCTGTTTCTCTTGTGACTGTGATCTCATGCTGTACAAAACAGCAGTGCATTCTAGTGGAGAAAATGGTTAGTTTCATAGATTGTGTCATGATTTTTAGCATGAAAGAGAGACTTATAAACTGTGCTTTTCATGAATCACCCATGAAAAACAGGTGAAGTAGAATCTAATGTTAAGCTTCAGAAATAGCCTTGGAAAATCTGGGTGGAAAATGTGTTTTTACAGAATTCCTTCCCAGCAATCACAAATCCACACCAATGCACATGATCATCAACTCCTTTTCACAAAAGTTTCACAGTCACATCACGAAATATCTGAAAACTTTCTTCAAGATTCAGGAAGGACTGAATGTAGATAATAGATAGTACATGGGCCTTGGAACTCAACAGACCTGAAATCCAGCCCCATTCATGGATGTTCTTAGAAAAACTATCCTCTCTGCACTCCATTTTCTTCAACTATAAAATAGGCTTAATCAAACCGCTCTCCTAGGTTAGTATGACTGTTGAGTGAGGTAATTCATGAGTTGCTGTCAGGACACAGTAAGGGGCTTGTGGGTCAGTGCCCAGCATGTAGTAGGAATGTCCACACTGCTCATCTTCTTTGCTTTTATGAATACTTCCACCGTCTCTCAGCAAAGCCAAAATCCAAAGAATGTGCCTGGAGGTTGTGCGAGGACACGTGAGTGGTTTAATGTTTTCATTTGAAGCAAGTATGTTTATGTGTGTGAGAGGGAAGCTCACATTCCAGGGGCCGACTCTGACCAGAGTTTGAACCAGTCTTCTTTGCTGTCCAACTAGCAGTTATGCAGGAAAGCCTGTGGTTTAGGGATATTGGCAGAGATTGATGGGTGAGTTGACAACCAGGAAAGATATTACTGACACCTTGATTAACCTCTTCTCCAAGGCAAAGAACTGGAAACAACTGAACTTGCAAAAGGAGTTTTTACCCAGTATTTTGCCTGACCAGCACTTAAAGCATTATTTCAAATTGTCCCTTTGTTGGACATCCTCAAAATTTTTGCACACCAGGGCAGCACATGGTAAAGAGGGAAATGGGTGATGATGAAAGAGGGCTCTACCATCAGTTCTAATAAAGAGTAGTGTAGAAGCTGGAGATCTAGAAACCAGTACCTTATCATTGTTTATGCTCCTTGGAAAATTTTAATTTTGTACCCAGGGCCATAAGGAATGGTGAGGTGAGTGAGGCGTTTAACTGGGGTACAAAATTTAAGGAAGTGCCTAAAAATTCAGTAATCATGATACAAAATATTTGAACACAGTGCTTTAAAAAATAAAAATTAATGCAAACAACAACAGGTCAAAACTTAAAGCAAGATCCAAGGGCAGGTGTACCCTAGCTTGAAGTCCACAAGTCTCAGTGTCTTAAAAACGTAAGAGCTTTCGCAGCCGATTAAAAATGGTTAACGATTCTCTTGCTTATGCTGCCACCTGCTGCTGAAATCAGGCAGTGCCGCAATGGCAGTTCTCTACCAGCACCCTCTCTCATACGCAAAGGCCTGGTGCCCTCTTGCGGGCATCCACCCAGTGCAGAAACTTTGAAAACCTGTGGCCTCCTGCATCCTGCTAGATAGCTGAGTGGGGGTAAAAAGAGCCCAAGACTACAGCCAGACTGAGACCTGCATCTCATTTTTGCTTCTCACTTGTTAGGTCATCTGAAAAAAAGAATCACATCGCTGTTCTGAGTTTCAGTTTCTGTACCTATAATGAATGTCTTCCATCATTACATCTTCCTAAACTGTTGAATTACATGAGATGGTTTCCAGGCAGGCTGTGTGGCAGGCGTACACACAGAGTTCACTGTAAGCTCTCTACCCTGGCATAGCCCACTCCCCCGATCAAATCAAATACCATCAATTCACTGCTGAAGGCAGACACACTCAAAGATGACCAGGGAGAAAAGCTATGGCAGAAGTGCCCACAGGGGATGATGCCATGGCTGATCTGGGAAGACCTCCCCTAAGGGGGTTACTAGAGCTGGGCCTACATGGTTGGATGGGCCAGGGGGGTTCACAGGGCCACTTCTCTGATGCTTTATCTCAGGGAAGGTCCAGTACCGTGAGACAGGCAAGGCCCTGTGGAAAGGTGGTGGTGGAAAGGCCAAGGCCCTGGCAATCCTGGCTCTGCTGCTTACTGGCCCCGTGACCAACGGAAGTCACTCGGCTTCCCTGAGCCTCAGCGTTTCTACAAAACGAAGATAATAACATGCCTGTCCCTGGTGGATAAGATTAAATAAGATGACTTTATTTAAAGTTCCTGCGATTCAGTGGACTCAATAAGTGGTAGCTGGTATTGCTAGGATGGAACTTTCTTTGAGGAGCAGGAAAGGGGGACACTGTCAGGCAGTGTTGGCCACTCTCATTTTTGACTCCTATTCGGCAAGAAGGGGGATGCAGATATTCCCTGTGGGCAGACCGTGCTCTCACCTCAACAGGACTCAGCGTGTCAGTGCACCCCAGAAGTGAATCCCCAACAGAAAAGGGTGGGATGGGGGTGTCCCTTCTGCCCTGGAGTTCTGGAGGGCACGCTGAAGTGGAGTCTTATGATAAGAAGCCTGGAAATTGGAATAAGGGCTGTAACTTAGATAACAATAGAGTATCAGCGTTCATTTCC